GTTTAGAATAACGCACTGTCATCCGCGATTTGGCTCTTATTGCCTATCTTATATATGTTAAATTTATATTTATATATTACAGAGCCTAGTTAAACTCTTAATTTATACACGCTGGCTTAAAGGCGTTTATTTACCAACATTAATATATATAACAGAGAAAAGTATAGAATCGAAAGGATCTGAATAGCTCAGTTGGAAGAGCAGTCGCCCGGCAAGCGAAAGGTCTCGGGTTCGATTCCCGATTCTGCGACTTTCGGATCTATATTTTTCTCTCGCACTTTATTTCTTTAGGGGGAATAGGGGATACATGGAATTAAAAATCTCTTGTAGAGATTATTCCAATTTTATATCTTGGCCGTGTCCAAGTAAAAATTTGGTGCCTTGTGCACAGGTATTTAATTCTAACGAAAAAATTTAGTTTCGTTTAGAATAACGCACTGTCATCCGCGATTTGGCTCTTATTGCCTATCTTATATATGTTAAATTTATATTTATATATTACAGAGCCTAGTTAAACTCTTAATTTATACACGCTGGCTTAAAGGCGTTTATTTACCAACATTAATATATATAACAGAGAAAAGTATAGAATCGAAAGGATCTGAATAGCTCAGTTGGAAGAGCAGTCGCCCGGCAAGCGAAAGGTCTCGGGTTCGATTCCCGATTCTGCGACTTTCGGATCTATATTTTTCTCTCGCACTTTATTTCTTTAGGGGGAATAGGGGATACATGGAATTAAAAATCTCTTGTAGAGATTATTCCAATTTTATATCTTGGCCGTGTCCAAGTAAAAATTTGGTGCCTTGTGCACAGGTATTTAATTCTAACGAAAAAATTTAGTTTCGTTTAGAATAACGCACTGTCATCCGCGATTTGGCTCTTATTGCCTATCTTATATATGTTAAATTTATATTTATATATTACAGAGCCTAGTTAAACTCTTAATTTATACACGCTGGCTTAAAGGCGTTTATTTACCAACATTAATATATATAACAGAGAAAAGTATAGAATCGAAAGGATCTGAATAGCTCAGTTGGAAGAGCAGTCGCCCGGCAAGCGAAAGGTCTCGGGTTCGATTCCCGATTCTGCGACTTTCGGATCTATATTTTTCTCTCGCACTTTATTTCTTTAGGGGGAATAGGGGATACATGGAATTAAAAATCTCTTGTAGAGATTATTCCAATTTTATATCTTGGCCGTGTCCAAGTAAAAATTTGGTGCCTTGTGCACAGGTATTTAATTCTAACGAAAAAATTTAGTTTCGTTTAGAATAACGCACTGTCATCCGCGATTTGGCTCTTATTGCCTATCTTATATATGTTAAATTTATATTTATATATTACAGAGCCTAGTTAAACTCTTAATTTATACACGCTGGCTTAAAGGCGTTTATTTACCAACATTAATATATATAACAGAGAAAAGTATAGAATCGAAAGGATCTGAATAGCTCAGTTGGAAGAGCAGTCGCCCGGCAAGCGAAAGGTCTCGGGTTCGATTCCCGATTCTGCGACTTTCGGATCTATATTTTTCTCTCGCACTTTATTTCTTTAGGGGGAATAGGGGATACATGGAATTAAAAATCTCTTGTAGAGATTATTCCAATTTTATATCTTGGCCGTGTCCAAGTAAAAATTTGGTGCCTTGTGCACAGGTATTTAATTCTAACGAAAAAATTTAGTTTCGTTTAGAATAACGCACTGTCATCCGCGATTTGGCTCTTATTGCCTATCTTATATATGTTAAATTTATATTTATATATTACAGAGCCTAGTTAAACTCTTAATTTATACACGCTGGCTTAAAGGCGTTTATTTACCAACATTAATATATATAACAGAGAAAAGTATAGAATCGAAAGGATCTGAATAGCTCAGTTGGAAGAGCAGTCGCCCGGCAAGCGAAAGGTCTCGGGTTCGATTCCCGATTCTGCGACTTTCGGATCTATATTTTTCTCTCGCACTTTATTTCTTTAGGGGGAATAGGGGATACATGGAATTAAAAATCTCTTGTAGAGATTATTCCAATTTTATATCTTGGCCGTGTCCAAGTAAAAATTTGGTGCCTTGTGCACAGGTATTTAATTCTAACGAAAAAATTTAGTTTCGTTTAGAATAACGCACTGTCATCCGCGATTTGGCTCTTATTGCCTATCTTATATATGTTAAATTTATATTTATATATTACAGAGCCTAGTTAAACTCTTAATTTATACACGCTGGCTTAAAGGCGTTTATTTACCAACATTAATATATATAACAGAGAAAAGTATAGAATCGAAAGGATCTGAATAGCTCAGTTGGAAGAGCAGTCGCCCGGCAAGCGAAAGGTCTCGGGTTCGATTCCCGATTCTGCGACTTTCGGATCTATATTTTTCTCTCGCACTTTATTTCTTTAGGGGGAATAGGGGATACATGGAATTAAAAATCTCTTGTAGAGATTATTCCAATTTTATATCTTGGCCGTGTCCAAGTAAAAATTTGGTGCCTTGTGCACAGGTATTTAATTCTAACGAAAAAATTTAGTTTCGTTTAGAATAACGCACTGTCATCCGCGATTTGGCTCTTATTGCCTATCTTATATATGTTAAATTTATATTTATATATTACAGAGCCTAGTTAAACTCTTAATTTATACACGCTGGCTTAAAGGCGTTTATTTACCAACATTAATATATATAACAGAGAAAAGTATAGAATCGAAAGGATCTGAATAGCTCAGTTGGAAGAGCAGTCGCCCGGCAAGCGAAAGGTCTCGGGTTCGATTCCCGATTCTGCGACTTTCGGATCTATATTTTTCTCTCGCACTTTATTTCTTTAGGGGGAATAGGGGATACATGGAATTAAAAATCTCTTGTAGAGATTATTCCAATTTTATATCTTGGCCGTGTCCAAGTAAAAATTTGGTGCCTTGTGCACAGGTATTTAATTCTAACGAAAAAATTTAGTTTCGTTTAGAATAACGCACTGTCATCCGCGATTTGGCTCTTATTGCCTATCTTATATATGTTAAATTTATATTTATATATTACAGAGCCTAGTTAAACTCTTAATTTATACACGCTGGCTTAAAGGCGTTTATTTACCAACATTAATATATATAACAGAGAAAAGTATAGAATCGAAAGGATCTGAATAGCTCAGTTGGAAGAGCAGTCGCCCGGCAAGCGAAAGGTCTCGGGTTCGATTCCCGATTCTGCGACTTTCGGATCTATATTTTTCTCTCGCACTTTATTTCTTTAGGGGGAATAGGGGATACATGGAATTAAAAATCTCTTGTAGAGATTATTCCAATTTTATATCTTGGCCGTGTCCAAGTAAAAATTTGGTGCCTTGTGCACAGGTATTTAATTCTAACGAAAAAATTTAGTTTCGTTTAGAATAACGCACTGTCATCCGCGATTTGGCTCTTATTGCCTATCTTATATATGTTAAATTTATATTTATATATTACAGAGCCTAGTTAAACTCTTAATTTATACACGCTGGCTTAAAGGCGTTTATTTACCAACATTAATATATATAACAGAGAAAAGTATAGAATCGAAAGGATCTGAATAGCTCAGTTGGAAGAGCAGTCGCCCGGCAAGCGAAAGGTCTCGGGTTCGATTCCCGATTCTGCGACTTTCGGATCTATATTTTTCTCTCGCACTTTATTTCTTTAGGGGGAATAGGGGATACATGGAATTAAAAATCTCTTGTAGAGATTATTCCAATTTTATATCTTGGCCGTGTCCAAGTAAAAATTTGGTGCCTTGTGCACAGGTATTTAATTCTAACGAAAAAATTTAGTTTCGTTTAGAATAACGCACTGTCATCCGCGATTTGGCTCTTATTGCCTATCTTATATATGTTAAATTTATATTTATATATTACAGAGCCTAGTTAAACTCTTAATTTATACACGCTGGCTTAAAGGCGTTTATTTACCAACATTAATATATATAACAGAGAAAAGTATAGAATCGAAAGGATCTGAATAGCTCAGTTGGAAGAGCAGTCGCCCGGCAAGCGAAAGGTCTCGGGTTCGATTCCCGATTCTGCGACTTTCGGATCTATATTTTTCTCTCGCACTTTATTTCTTTAGGGGGAATAGGGGATACATGGAATTAAAAATCTCTTGTAGAGATTATTCCAATTTTATATCTTGGCCGTGTCCAAGTAAAAATTTGGTGCCTTGTGCACAGGTATTTAATTCTAACGAAAAAATTTAGTTTCGTTTAGAATAACGCACTGTCATCCGCGATTTGGCTCTTATTGCCTATCTTATATATGTTAAATTTATATTTATATATTACAGAGCCTAGTTAAACTCTTAATTTATACACGCTGGCTTAAAGGCGTTTATTTACCAACATTAATATATATAACAGAGAAAAGTATAGAATCGAAAGGATCTGAATAGCTCAGTTGGAAGAGCAGTCGCCCGGCAAGCGAAAGGTCTCGGGTTCGATTCCCGATTCTGCGACTTTCGGATCTATATTTTTCTCTCGCACTTTATTTCTTTAGGGGGAATAGGGGATACATGGAATTAAAAATCTCTTGTAGAGATTATTCCAATTTTATATCTTGGCCGTGTCCAAGTAAAAATTTGGTGCCTTGTGCACAGGTATTTAATTCTAACGAAAAAATTTAGTTTCGTTTAGAATAACGCACTGTCATCCGCGATTTGGCTCTTATTGCCTATCTTATATATGTTAAATTTATATTTATATATTACAGAGCCTAGTTAAACTCTTAATTTAATGGTAATGTTTATTAATATTACTACTCTATGTTAAACAACTGTGGTTATTTTAGACATTATCACATCTACTACTAATTTTATTGTTATTAATGTATACTGATTTTATTTTTATTATTTTTATTATTTTTATTTTATTATTTTTATTACTTTAATTACTATTATTTTATTGTTTAATAAATAAAATAATAATAATATAATTCAAAGAAAAATATAAAAGTGTATATGATATTATAAATATAAAAATCATGTACCTATTATTATGTCCACAAACTTCATATCTTTTACTTTAATAGTTTTTTTCTGTCCTGTCCATGATAATTTACATGACAATTCATCATTTAATATTAATGTCAAAGCTTGCCGAACATGTTTTTTAACATCTTTACCACCAATATTTTTAATTATTTTTTCTGAAAAATAATACAATAAATGTTTGTATTATTATATAATAAAAACAGTAAAATTATAGACCTTAAATCAAAATGGTTAGTAAATTGTAGTAAAACAGCTTTTATGTTTATTTTTAAAAAATAACAAATAATAAAAAATAAATTAATACAATTGTCGCTCGTATATTGAAAACAAAGTGATAAATATAAGGCCAACTTATCGAGCTGAATATTCGAGATGTTCACTCAACTACCATTTATTACATGTATAAAATATAAAACTACAGTCATTATATTAAAACTAACGCAAATTACAATCATTCTATAAACGTTTCGACCGCACGCGGTCTTCTTCAGTATAATTATTGAAATATAAATTCTTACAATTCACATAATATCGAAATTTAATTATAGTTATTCAGAATCAAGAGTTGAGTCCAATCTAATATTATTTTTATGTTCTTTCATTCGCGTCTGCAATTGCCTCTTTGTTTGGCCTACATAAGATGCATTACAATTATTGCAACTGATCTTATAAACCACATTCGAATTGCATGGATGTTTAGTTTTATCTTTCTGCGCTTTAATAATATTATCCAGTTTGTTGAGACATCTATACCTACCATACAATTTTTATTTTTTACCGAGGAAACAATCATTTCTGAGATTCCATCTATATACGGAATGACAAAGAATTTTTTATTGACCGAGTCATTTCCTATACTTTTTGTTCTTTCTATGTTGGCCTGTCTCTCTATAATGCTCCCCTTAGATATGATGTGTTCTATCCGATGATTAATTTTGTTAAAAATCCGATCAAGAGGGTAACCATTGCTTCTGAGTATATTAATAATTAACTCCAAATTTTTATTAAAAATAGTGGATGTGATAGCAATAGACATCTGTCTACAAGGTTATATATTATTCCAATTTTGTGGCATAATGGGTGGTTTGAATAAAATGATAACGTCCTTCCTGAGAAGGTTTCTTTTTGATACCAGTCTATATATATTTTGTTATTAATAATTTTAAGTGATAAATCTAAGAAATTCAAGCTATGGTTAACCTCTTGTTCGACCGTGAATTTAAGTCTTTCATGATAGTTGTTAAAATTATTCACAATCTGAGTCATATTAGTCATAGAGGTGGCCACTATTATGTCATCCACATAACGAAAATAAAACAAACATTCCAAATTCAACGCTTTGAGAACTGTATCCTCAAGATCTTGCATAACCAGGTCTGCAATAATTGGTGATAACGGTGACCCCATAGGGGTCCCAAACGTCTGTTTATAAATTATGTCATCAAATGTAAAATATGTAGAAGTCAATATGAATTTTATACCCCCCAAAAATTCGTTTTTCGGTATTTTAGTATTTATTCCAATGTAATCCCATCTATCGTTAATACCGTCAATCGCAAGATCCAGAGGAACGTTCGTAAACAAAGACACCACATCCAAGGAAAACATCCTATCATTCTCATCAATCTTTTTACCAGACAATATGCTGTACAAATCAAAACTATTATTAATATGACTTTTCGCTTTGGGTAGGCTAGTTCGTAAGGTGTTTTGTAAAAACGAAGCCAGCGAGTATAGAGCTGTATCAACCGATGAAACTATGATTCTAACTGGATAGTTTTCCTTATGGATTTTAGGTAATCCATACGCTTTTGGAAGGAGAGAATCACTACAACGTAATTTATAATATTCGTTTTTTGAAATATAATCTTCCTTAAGCCATCTCTTCAACAAATCATTCAAATCGTTCTCTATTTTTTTGCACGGATTTTTTTTAACAATAGTGTAAGTGTTGACATCTTTTAAAACGTTTTCCATTTTGTTAATATAATGAGATCTTTCCATTGCCACCGTAGCATTACCCTTGTCCGCGCGTGTGAATAGAACATTCGGATTGTCTTTACAAAATTTTATTAAATCTCTGTGTGCACCAAGTAATTTTTGTTGACTTACGTCATTTTTATCCTTCGTGTTCAGAAGTTGTGCAAATTTTGGAACCGCGATATTTCTGATCGTTGTGAGATTATTAATATTATTTCGTTTGCTATTACTCTCTATGTCCTTGATGAATTCATGTATCGCTGTTTTTTTACTAATATTCGGAAGACAGAATTTATCACCCATTTGCAACAGATTAGAAACGTTAGGCGGAATGTCTGTGTTGGAAAGATTAACAAACCATTTTTTATTAGTATTTTCCAAAGGGTTAATTGTATCATTGAGAAATTTATTGGCTTCTATGTGTATATTGATCTCCTTGGCATCATTAGTGATTGCCCTGAGAGAATTTTGTGATATTTTCGTCGGTTGTGAAGTTTCAAAATGTAAAGAACAATGTATATCTATAGGTTTGATGCTGTTGATATACTTATAGTGTTGTTTTCTCTTAAGCCAATTGAATTTCTTTTCGTGTGCAGTAACCAATCTGTTGTGGCAATTTTTAAAAGCAATGTTATGATGTTCGAAAATTCTATTCCACGCGAGTACAGGTAAACGATTAAATAACCCGCTGGTGAGATGAAAAATCCTATTTTGTAATGACTCTACCTGTCTATGCAAATCAAAGATTTCAATGCTCATCGCATTTGTTTTGAATTTGTACAACATACTATCTAGTCTTCTGATCGATCTGTGATGAAAAACGTTAAATTTAATGCGGCAAAAACCTTCTCAATGTGTAGGAAAAATATCGCCATTTTTACAATTTCTTAAAAATTCCAATTTTGCTCTCGCTCTTATTAACAAGTAATTCGCATTAATCCATTGTTTAAAATAATCTGCGGTTATTCTTCCAAAAACTCTATGAATAAAATTAAAATTAAAATAGTAATCAGTCCGTTTTGTGTTAAATTGACGCATTGTAAGGCCAGCGTATATTAAAAATAAATTAATACAATTGTCGCTCGTATATTGAAAACAAAGTGATAAATATAAGGCCAACTTATCGAGCTGAATATTCGAGATGTTCAGTCAACTACCATTTATTACATGTATAAATTATAAAACTACAGTCATTATATTAAAACTAACGCAAATTACAATCATTCTATAAACGTTTCGACCGCACGCGGTCTTCTTCAATATAATTATTGAAATATAAATTCTTACAATTCACATAATATCGAAATTTAATTATAGTTATTCAGAATCAAGAGTTTTTGAGCAATTAACGCGTGTTTCAATCCGTCCTGTCCAACAATGTTCGCCTCGATATGATCCCTGATTTTGTTCAGATCTCGGATAGTTTCATCGTTAATATGCGAGAAATTAACCCGTTCCGTAGGCGCTGCGATTAATAAAAAATTACCGATCAACGTATGTCCAAATTATAATATGTATCCCCTACAATTGGTAGTATGCTTACCTATCATCGTTCTTCTTGACAATTTTGCTACTTATTAACAGTTATTAAGGATGACACATAACAAACCAACAATACAGAAAGACAGATAATAAATTATAGATATATTTCTTATACAGATAAATAAATAAATAGTAAGATAGATATATAGATTAGATAATCAACGTAATTAGAAATTATACATAATTATGAGCATTTTTATTATATTGTAAAATTAAAACAAATCTTTAAAAAAATTTAGAAACGATAATATATAAAATACTTACATATTGTGCACGAGCTATTGCATCTTCCCTTAACAATTTATTAAAATTTTCTAATTCTTGAACTGTAACAATCGGAAATTGTGGTAATATATTTTCATTATTTCGCTGCGGTTCATTACCATAGAAATCTATTAAATGCATTTCAATAGAGTTTATTTTATGCAAAATAACTTGCATATTATAACGACATGTTTCTGCAAAAAGAAACGTGGTGTTAATCAGTTAACTTGGGTTAGTTAATATATTTCGATCACATTCACACAACTCAATCAAATTCAAGCAATTTTCCCTTCTCTTCAAAAAGTTAACAGAAATTTAATAAAAAATGTATTTAATCAGTATAACAAGCTTATTTGCCTGTACTTACTACAACAAAATGTATGATGTTGACACATAGAGGACTCATTTGCGTTATCATTAATAGTATTACTATTAGGTATTTCCTTAGAAGAATCAAAATCGTCTTGAAAATAAGTTTCTTTCTGTACTATTTGCTTAGAAGAATCAGAATTATTTTGAAATTGAGTTTCTTTCTGTTCTTTTTTTGCAGAAGATGCTGCAATTCGTATTGGTATATCTATTTAAGAAAAAAACAGCAGAATTGGATAATATAAATTCATACATATAAAATATATAGTATCATTTACATTAATAATTTTACATTCGATTAATTCTTTCATAAAATGATGGTTTAATAAGAAGTTCAGTTTATTGTTAAATAAAAATAAAAAGAATGTTTGAATTTTTTATCAAGTAAACTTAAAACAACAATGTAGTAAATAAAAATTTATGTACTCAACTATTTTTACAATTTTTTAATTAAATTTTAAAAAATTATTTAATAAATAATATTTTTAAATAATATTGAAATAATTATACTTTTATATAAGACATATTTAAAAAATAAATTATTTAAAATTTTTTATGCAGTATATGCTGTTAATGCATAACACAACTTACCCGTATTAATTACACAGCGAATTTTTGGCTTATTATGTGAAATTGACAGATCTTGATTATATTGTGAGCGATATGAATCTTAAAAATATCGGATATTGTAAACAAATATATTACATTATAAGAGAGCAAAGTCAATGTTTTTTTTTTAAACTTACCAGTGTTTTTCAGTGGCAATGTAATATTCTTTTTGTTTACATGTTCTTGGGATTTAAATTTTTCGTTACTATATTCATAAACAGGTTTAACAGTTGTTTCAATGGGTATATTTTCTTTTATCGGCTCTAAAGAATAGTCAGCCAAATAATCTCCATAATTCAGCAAGGACTGATCATCGTTTTCAAATGATTCATTACCAAAATCATATGATTCATTACCAAAATCATTATTGTTGCAATCATTATTTTGCTCCATATTATCTCTCTGAGCATTTTCAATTTTTCATGACTAGAAGACTTTGTTAAATCTAAATAATTACAACAGAATTATAAAACACATCAATAAAAGCTTCACAATTTAGGTAATATTAAATACACAAAAAATGATCTATTTCGAAAAATTAATACCAAAAGGTAAAAAAAGATAAATTAATGCAAATTTTTTTACTTCCCATATAATATTAATTAATCTGGTATTTCCATTAAAAATATCTTAGAAACTAAAGCAAGACAAAATTATCTTGAAAATTTAATGATTTTATATATTAATATTGGTTTTTTAAATAGTGAGAATTATTTATTGATATGACCTTTTAAGTATAAAAAATTATTTTAAGTATAAAGAAGAATTATACATATATATATTGTACCTCTTTTTTCTGTTCCCGTTGAAGCTTCTTTTTTTCTGTCATTAATATGCGGTTTATAGTTTTTTGGTGGATCCGCTATTACAGGCACAATATACTTTTTAACACTACTTTTGATTGCTATAAAATATTATGAATTATTTAGTAATGTGTTGTTAGAGAAAATATAAATTAATACTTACGCATCGATTTGTCGTCATATTATTCTCGTCCGAAGATGAATTTAAATATGCCGGTTTTTTACTAATACGTTTCTTGGGAAGTTTTTGAGAGTTACTAATAACGTTTTTCAGTGTTTCTTCATCGTTAGTAGAAATATCTACCGCTGAAATTTCTACAGCTCTGGCTTCATCATAAGAACCTTGAATAAAATAATTTTATAAAAATCAAAGTAAAAATGTCGAAGATAATAAATATAACCAATTTTTTATCATTATTTGAACTTACCAAACGGTCCTAATAGTCTATTGAACTTTACTGTGTTCCAATTTTCTTTTGGTTCTGATGCTTTTTTACATTCAATGGTAACATTACAATTTTTTGGTGGCCATTTTAATTTTTTGGTTTTTATACTTAACCAACATTCTGGTACAGTAGCACACCAGTCGTTTGAAAAAGCAACAAAAAACATATCTGAATATAAAATAATATTTAGTCAAATTATATAAGGTCATATATAAACATTTCTTTTATTAGAATTTTCAATATGAACAAATGTGCTTACTTATAAACTGACGTCATTTACTTAAATGAAGCATAGGGAAAAAATAGTTATTATCTCTAAAAAATAATCTAACAGTTTTGTTAATAATTTCAATGGGCTTAAACTCTTTTAATTTTGACCATTTTTTGCCATAACATATTTTCAGGTCAAATGAATTACAGGGATAATAAGGTAGAGGCTGAGGATCTTCCAAAGTAATCCCTAAGATTACAGGGTTATTATTTTTTTACCAATATGAGAAATACTACAAATGGATCCATCAGTTAAGTAACAACAACAATCTGATTTTCGTTTACATGATAATGTAAAATTTTTTAATTTTATTCGATCATGGGACGCTGAAACACCCATAGGTAGCTGTTCTTTATTTGGACTCAATAGTAACGGAAATAAATCATTTGAATTAATTTCTATTTCTGTGACATTTAAATTTGCCATTTCATCTAACCGTTTACGCAATTGTGACAATGGTTTATCACCTTTCGCAATAAATGTTTAATATTCTTTAGATAATTTTCAAAAGGAAAACAACTGAATGTGTCTAGTGGTCCAAACTTTATTGCATCACTTGAAAGATGAATTGCATTATAAATATTATAGGATACATTATGCGGTCCATAAAGTTCTTTAAAAACTTGAACAAAATGTAGCAATAGGTTAGACGCATATTCATTGTTATATTTATAATCAATTGGATCGCATAAGATACGTATTGCAGTATGCAATGAATTATAATGTTTCATATTTGCTTCTGGTAAATATTGTTGTAAAACAACCGGACCTACGTATAATAAAAACGTACGATGTTCTGTAGCTTTCCATCTACAAAAATCATCTAAACCTCTCACTTTTCTTGCAAATTCTAGTGGAATCCATTTTGCTATACATGTCAAATCTTCTGATAATTTATTTTTAATTGCAGTCGAAAATTTTACAGTTTTACAACCATCAATGCAAAGTGCTAATATCTTTTTAGTGATTCCTAGACATACGAGGTGCATGTAGTCCAATGGGAATTGAGACACCATTGATAAAGATATAACTTCAAAAGGTGTTTTGTCTTGACGTTTATGATATTCAGCATTGGTTCGATTTTTAAAACTTTCGTCTGTTCTTAACTGTGCATCTTCTTTCAAGAAAGCCATTCTATTATTATCATAATCACCTTCTACTTCACATTTGGTACATGCAAAAAATCCATTATGCCCAACAGTGCAAGTAACGAAAGCTCTCGCAGGTGCATCACATAATACAGCTCTAATGATTACCATGTATTTTTTTTGTTGATACATAAAACCATTCTGTTTTAGATATAAATATTCGGCACAAAATTCTTTAAGTATCTCTTCGGGTTGCGAAGGTTTACAATAGCCATGAAATATTCCAATTACAAATGGTTTTAGGCAATTTGGATGAGCAATCTGTCCTAAAAGCGTCCATAATACGCTTTGAGAACTCTTTGCGATTGGTAGACCATCCACATGGAGATTTAATTGTACATTTTGTTCAATATCTGTATTAGATAGAAGTTGAAGCTGTTGTTTTAATGCATGCTCAAGACCATAGTGAAAATATTCTCCTGAATGAGTTTTCGTCAATTCAATTATTCTTGGTGTTTTAAGAAGTGAACGTGCATCTAATGGAAATCCATTCAAACCTGCTTCTCTGAATAAATGTAATAAAGCGCTGATTGAATTTTGTGTCAAATTATATGTGACTGCCCATATGGGAATTTTTCATGTAAAACTTTCATTGCTTGCGACATTTTATTACATTTTTCACAATTATCATAAACACAATAATTATTATTGATAAATTGTCTATAATTATTGGAATTATATTGTTCTAAATTATTTTGTAATAATTCACTTTTTATAGACTTCTCATTATTATATAAAATTTCTTTATAATCTTCATTAACATCTATAACTTGATAGTCTTTCTGGTTCATAATTTTTGATTTTACATCATTTTTTAACGGAGTTGATATTTTTAGATCTTCGCAGTCTTTATTCAAATTTAAAAAATTCTTTACACGACGATTTTGTTGACTTCGTGAAAGATCTCGATATTTTTTAACTTTTGGCATTTTTACATCTAAAAATTTAATTCTTACAGTTAGTCTTAGGTCGGATCTACAATAGGTGTAGTAAACTCTAAGCCTTAAGAAATTGATCAATCACAGTCAATTATTCTCTTCATTCTTGACTGTGATTGGTTAATTTCTTAAGGCTTAGAGCTTACTACACCTATGGTAGACCGGCTTTAATAAATAAAAGAATTAATTTAATTAATCAAAGTTCTTTATAAATTAAAATTAGAATCCACAGTTTCAAATGTTCTTAAAACAAGATTCTTAAAATAATAATCAGTATTTAAAAAAAATAAAAGAATATTATTGAAGCCATATTTTGTTGTTTGTATTTTGTAATTAAACATTTGTTAAGTATAAATTATGTATTTAACGAATAGATGTAGTTTTTTTAAACTTCAAATAAAAGAAATTGTGATACTTTATATTTATTTTTGAAAAAAATTTTTTTTGAATCGCTAGATATTTTTAATTACAATTAGCGACACACAAATTATTATAAATTTCAACGTTCCGATTAATATTCAACTTTTTCTGTATATATTTTTTATATGTAAGGATATTCTTAATTATTAATTCATTTTTTTACTATTAAAAACCGATTAAAAGATAATGGAATAAAAAAATATAATTTACAACTAATTTAAGAGAATTATTTCCTAATCAACATAATGTAAAACAGTAGTATAACATCAATGTTATAATTTCTCATTTAACAATGTAACATTATGCCTTTTGTATGACAGTTTTATATTACTAATTGAGTGGCAAATTATGGATATTATATAACACTTATTGTTATTATATTAGTTTGTGTTTTATTACTGCTGCATTTTAATAATTTTTACTTAAAAATTACTACAGAAAAATTCATATAAATCTATAAAAAATAAATAAATATAATTATTAAATTATTCTCACCTGTATATGTTATATTGTTTATCTGCAGACACGATAACGTCTCGATAAGTTTATCTTTTCAATAAAAGTTTCTGTTTCCACGTACAGTAATGAATCAGTTTTATTGAGACAGTTTATGGACTAGTCTCTCTTTCTTCTTGATAAAATATCCAGTCCTATAATTTATATGTGTATAAATACATTATATATATATATTATTATGAATATTTTGTATCTCATATTCTTTGTTGATATTATAAAATTAATTTATAATAAATGCAATTTGATCATGTTAAACATTTTTGGTTATGTTAATTTTGGAATCGGTTATATTATCAAAAAATTGGTTTTATATTCATTACTTTAATATTTTACATCTTGTATTTTTTGTAGCATTTATTGTTTAATTAATATTTACATCATAAACTTACTGAATCATAAATCAATCGACAACACGACAACGATACGTTAATTGTAGCTGCATATAAAGAACACGTGAAAGCACTGAGTATACACTATACACTGGAACACACTATACATATTAATATAATGCGCAAGCGCGCGAACAAATCTAAAATACATCATATACAAGATAACGTTTTGTGTCTTCAATAAGAAATCCATAAAATTAGCTGGAAAAAGATTTCTTACTGATCTCGTAAAATTAATTTCTCAAACAAGATATCTTAAAGAAATCTTATAATAGACTTCTACAAATTTAAATCTATTAGAAATCATATGAGAGCTCGGAAAGCAATCTTGATAAGATTTCTAATTGAGGTCTTTCTGACATTCGTGCTATCTGGGATATTAATCTTTTTGTCTTTCGCTTTATACTTTCAATGAATAAACATTGCTTCTTAAAAGATCTGGTGAATTTATTCATAAGTCGCTACATTTTTGGTGACCCCGACGTGATATTAAAGTCGACGTGATATTAAAGCCGACGTGATATTAAAGCCGACGCATTTAAAAAGCTGATGCGGAATAAGTGCCAAGTGGATCGTCGTATTTGAAGTCTGCGAAATATTATCATCGCTTGGAAGAATTGCTGGATATTTAGATTTTAAGAGATTCATTCTCCGGATCTTTGAAACATCAGAGGCGGATTAGTCCTTCACGGAAATTCTCAAATCATTTTATCGGATTTCTGGAACAAGAGGAAATGCCAATCGATAGATCACCAGTTAGACCCTGTACGGATACCGATTGATATGGATTTGGCGAGCGGATTAAATCAGGTTGGATCAAATAATATTAATATTTTACCTTCTCAAACTGGACATCAGGTGAGTGATCCTATGTTACAAATTCACTCAAATGAGTTTCGTTTATTAAAACTACCGACTTTCTGGCATAAGCAACCTAAACTCTGGTTTGCTTCTATTGAAAATGAGTTACGGTTTATCGAATTCGATCAGATGATATTAATATAGTTCTGTCATTCGTCATCTTGATGAACAAGCCTTAGTAAATATATCTGAAGTCATTGAAAATCCACCTGAAACAGATAAATATAATTATTTAAAGAAAATATTAATAAATCGCTTTACGGATTCAGAGGAAAAACGTTTGAGACAAATATTAGCTGGAATTGAACTTAACGATAAAAAGCCTTCGGAATTACTTCGAGAAATTCGTCATTTGTCTGGAGGATCTTTAGCAGATAGTGTTTTGCAAATGATTTGGCTTCAACGCTTACCACATAGAATTCAAAACGACTTTAGCCGTAGTAGAGGATGTTCCTCTTGTTAAACTTGCGGAATTAGCCGATAAAATTGCTGATCGGGACGGCGGTTTGCAAGTCGCGGAAGTTTCCAATAATGCAAGTAATAAATCTTCGGATTTCGCGGATTTGCTACGAAGAATCGAAGCTCTTGAAGTTCTCGTCGTCGAGATCGTTCCAAAAGCCGGTCTAGAGAGAATAGAAGATTTAGATCGTTATCGCGTAACAA